ACACACACACACACACACACACACACACACACACACACACACACACAAAATAAATTAATAGTTCAGCTTCAATCATTTTTAATTTTTTTTTTTTTTTTACAATCCTTAATTACGTTGTATCATCAGCCCCACGCCCTGGTAATGTCTAGAAAGCTTGATGTAATTGAAGAGTTTGAAAACTAACAGTAATGACATTGTAGAAACACACAGTAGACTTACAGCAAGTCTTTAATATACTATGTGAATGAATCCAGACAGTACATTCTGCAGAATGACTTCCAGTTGCTGTGTGTAAAGTGGGAGTATATAGTTTACCTGCAAATAGATGGATCCCCCTATGTGATTACATTGCGCATCTATCAGAACTAGACAGCATAATAAGCTATGTTGCATATATAATGACTACCAGCTGCTGTTTTATCACCACAGTTTAAACCAGCAATACCCACAGAACCCTTTAGGACTGCTGTGTAACAGTAAGAAATGAGCTGCTGCTTTAGCCACATGAGGTCGTCACTATAAGCGACACCTTCCACGTTACAAGCAACCCACACTCACAGTTCTTGTCTGTATCTGCGTAGCTTGGCTTTGGTGTCAGCGAGCTCCACAGACAGATGCTGCTTCTCCTCTTTGGTCAGCCCTGGCACAGTCAAGGCCGATCCACCGTTATTTACTCCCACTCCCCTAGATCTCTGCCCACGCTCTGGGCTGCTCATGCCCAGGTTCCTGCACCCTTCCTGGGGCTGTTGACTGGACAGGTAGTCCCTCTCCTGGGTCAGATCCACAATCACCTGGAAGGCAGAAGTGTTTTTGCTAAATTCACGTTTCATTCTTGTTTTCCCGTTGAAATGTTACAGGCAGACTTCTGCTGATTTTCTTCTTTAAATTTGAGAAGTTTCCTGATTTATTATTGTGTTCAAGTGGAAAATCCTCAGACAGTATTTCACTATTTAACATTACAAATTGGACTCGAACCCCACAACCCGCCAACAGGGTTTTTCTTTGAAGAAAATGCTAAAATTACACAATTAATCATAGCCGGAAAATGTTACGACAGAAATTATCATTGAATTTCTAAAAATAACCAAATCTAAGCTTAAAATAGTGATGTTTCATCAAAATCACTTTAATCTCAATTAAAATGTTGCTAAAATCCATTTGCACGAACCAGATCCTGTAAAAAACATTAAATTCTGTGCTCCTCAGCGCCACTGGAGACCAACAGTGACAAAGTTTACAAAGAGCAGAAAGGTTGAACACATGTAAATAGTTCTATATGTAGGCTAAAGTATGTGGAGACTTTCAAATGCTGGTCACGCTTGTGGGCCCTTGGAAAAATGTTACATTTATTCAAATTTTGGTAAAATAAATAATCAATGAACTTGCATGGTTCTTTTTAATGATGTATGGCATTATAACTGTGTTATACTGTACAAAGGACATAATTGAGTCCTCTCTACTTCTAGCCATAATTGTGCTGTTTCTATAGAGGTGCAGGACGTATACAACGCAGTGAAAAACTAGGTCAGGGTGAATAAAACTTGACAGGAGCAAAAATATTTTTAAAAATGCCATAAAATTGCTTGGAGTTCAGAGGGTTTATTACAATAATCAAACCTATGTAACCATACAAGAAGTAGACAATAATAACGTGTATTTAAAGTGTGATAAATATTCTCATCATTGTTTATAAAATAATGTGTGAGTCACAGTACCTCACTGGCTTTGTCTCTCTGGTCGATGAGTTGCTGTAGCGACACAGCCATGTTACGGGACAGAGGTGCCAGCTCTTCGTGAGCCAGCTCCGATACTTCCTCCAGCCAGGACAGGTCCAGAACATTCAGCTGGTTGTGGGTCACCTGCAACAAACAACATAAAATAATTCAGTAGTGCACTTTTATATCGTTAGTAAAAATATTAAAACCCAAGTGACACTTTTTACAGCTGATGCTTGATTTGAAATGACTTGCCGTTTTTCCCACACTCATTACTGCTGTAATTTGGCTTGATTTTTTTTGACACAATTGGAAACCTCGGGATCTTAAAACAGTTAAATTGTGTGAGTTTGAACAATGCTTGTCCACACAGCGAGTAATGACAGAAATAGGAAGGAGCTATATTAAACATCACATTCAGAACAAAATGCCTTTAAGTGATTACTGCTGAGCGAGAGGTTATTGTTCTTTGATGTCAGCTGATGTTGGACTGTTTCATGGTGCACACAGATAGATAGATGGAGAACAAGGATGCAATGGATCGTAACGTATCATAGTTTTAAGTCACGGATTAGATTGGCGGAAAAAAAACAAGCAAATATAACTTTCAGAGATTCCCCATCACGGTTTTTCACATTGCTGATTGTTGAGCCGTATCGGCCAATACAGATTGTCTTTGTTGTTTTTTTTTTTCAACATCTCGAAAAATCATTTCAACCGCTTTGAAATCAGTGTAAGCAGTCAAAAATTAGTTATTTAAATAAAAACATTAACAGATTAATGAGATCAAAAATATTGAGTTTGTTATCATAGATAATAAGACAACCAGCAAATACTCACATTTGAGAAGAGAAAACTATTAATTAACTAAATATTTGACAATTTTAGCTTAAAAAAAAACAAACGTTTTTAAAAAGTATATATTTCAGGCTTTGTGCATACACAACGTTTTAATCGGAGTCAGTGAAGGACAATAAAAAGCTCAAAGAGGACATTCATCTCCCCCAGTATATATAACCACCTGTTATCACCTGACTAGTTCCACAATTTGTACTTACTTAGGTCACATGACAATTGAACCGTTTCCATGACAACTGCAAAAACTCCATCTACTGATGAAGACTGTGAGATGTGGGTGAAAGCCCAAGAAATAGGTGACCTGGACCTTGAGGTCAAAGGTTCACCTCCTAAAAACGCTCAGTCTGCTCTGATTGGTGCACATTTGCAAAGGCAGTTCTCAAGCACTGAGATTGTGAGTTTTTCATGATATGTCTCCTTTAAGACGATGTTGTTGTCAAACTTCTGCTAGTCTTTAGAACTTCTGTTCAGTGATGAATTCAGTGAAGTCGATCATGTTTCTATCACTGCACTCCACTGACCTCCTGGATGTGAGACACGATGGCAGCTTGGGTCTCAATGTCCAGCAGCTTGATCTTCTCTATCATCTCCTCCTTACGCTCACACTGACACACACACACAGTAGGAAATTAAATTAGCGAACACATTTGAATGAAAACTGTGCTCGTTAATGTCTCTTTGTTGCCATCACATTGGTGTTTTGAACAGAACAGGACTATGGGAAATGCAGTATGTATGATGAGGGGTGCGAGTTTGTTTGGCAAACCTTAACTGGACCACTGCTGAGGTGGAAAAGTGTTTATTTTGTACAACATTCACATCAATTTTTTGCACACGGCTGTTCTAGTTTCTCCCTTCATCGCTCCCGCCTTCCTAATTTCCCCTCCCTTTCCTTCACTCTTCCCTCTTTTTGTCTCTCCCTCCCTACCTGTACTGGTTCTACTGGTTCCAGGAAAGAGGCCACGGGGGAGCGATGAATGGAGAGATGGAGGGAGGGAGAGACAAAAAGAGGGAAGAGTGAAGGAAAGGGAGGGGAAATTAGGAAGGCGGGAGCGATGAAGGGAGAAACTAGAACAGCCGTGTGCAAAGGAAAACAAAGCTAAACCAAAAGACAAGTTGGTGGGTTCTGAGCCATGGGAGAGGTGGAAATGAGAGACAACAAAGAGCAGAACAAACAGACAGAGAAACCACCTGCACCCCCACCTCCCACATGACTAGCCCCTCCTCTTTTACTACAGGTAACCCAATTAACTCTTAACTCGCCATATCTGGCTGATTCTTAAAGGCTTTTAAAGCGCCAAACTGTGCCGACCAGCAGGCATCATATTTATTATAAAGCACCGTAATGCTAATGTTTATTACTGTATATATAAACCATTGATGGAGCTCCATGTGACTCCATTTTGATCCTGCTGTCCCAGCCTGCACCGTATCAGCAGGCACCGCTGTGGTCAGACATGCAAAACTAAATAGACACAAATAGACTTCCTGCTGAGAGACTGGGTGGTACAGTAAGCTGCTGTGTTTGGGCTTGTGTGTGTTACCTGGACAGCACAGCCTAGTATCAGCAACAAAAGTCTTTTCAGCTGCTCCATGCTCTTAGCTGGAGGAAACACAACACACAGACACGTTAGAGTACTTCAAACCCAAGAAACCACGACACAGCTGAATAACAGCGACAAGAAGAAAAGTCACTTTGAGAGAAAAGTTGAATAAAAGTCAAACAGCAAGACTTTGAACTGAATGTTTGAAGAAATTATCTAAAGGTTGATGGTGACCTCAGGCATTATTCTTCTACTTCAACAATATTATTTATGTCCATAAACGAACACAGAAATGACATAAAATAAATCTTGCGTATGTATCTTTAAGGACCTTTGCCTCACTCAGAAGCCGTCCTTACTATAATAACACTACTTTAGGAGCAACAAAATGCAGACGGTGCCTGGAGTAACCACCGTTTTGAACTCTACCATTCTTAAATCTTGAAAAAAAAATGTGTTACTTCTTTACTAAATTACGAACTTTCATAAATGGCCATCATGTAACTTCCCTCGGACAGTAGAAAAATGTAGGACTTGATTAGTACTGAGGTGTGTGGGTGTGGGTGTTACCTGATATGGGATCCTTGGCGATGCAGAGGATGTTAGGAAGGGGCATGACTATTAACTGCTGTAAGGTCTCCTGCAGCAGAGAAGATGGAGATGGGGGTTGTTTGGACAGAGAGGAAAAGAACAACTACATTAGCAATTTCATGGCCCTAATGATAACCGAGCAAAAGGCAGTGTCACTGACAAAACTGTCCATCGGACACCAACTGGGGGCACCAAAAGCGTTGAGGTGGGTCCTTGGTATTAGAGCCTGAAAGATGCTGGATTGTTTAGGCTGATATCAGCATTTGAGAAGGAAAAAGTATCCAATCATCATTTTTGGGCCAATTTGTTCAAACTACTGGTGCCAACACAGAAGTTACTATTTATACATAAATACAGAGCAAACATATGCAAAGTGTGTATATGTGTGTCTAAATTACCTTTATCATGTCTTTATCGTGGCTTGTTGGCCAGTTTACATCAATGATGAAGTAAATCAGCCGATACAAGTTATGAAAATGTAACTGTTGGGCTTTGATGATTCAAGAGGAAAGGAATCAAAGTTCAGCCACCAACTGACCCAGACTTGTGCACCTACATGTTTGTGTGTGTGCGTGTGTATATAGGCGAGCAGCCAACAGGAAACACCCTGCTGTCGATAGAGTGAGTGAGTGAGTGAGTGAGTGAGTGAGTGAGTGAGTGAGTGAGTGTGTGTGTGTGTGTGTGTGTGTGTGTGTCGGGAAAGAAACAGCTTCCCATTCCAGAATATCATCTCCTGTCCCCCAAAACACACCTGATTGTCCAGACAGGAAGAGAGAATTTTTATACAAATGAAAACACTTTCATTTTATTTCTAATTAACCCTCAGAGGTGCAGTGTCAAAACATTTCATTTGACTGTCAAAGCAAGTTGTTTTGGGATGAGGAAATATGACAGTGGAATAAGGTCACATAGGAAGACATCACAGGTTTAAAGAAAGGACACATGGGAGGAGACATGCTGACGACCTCTGGCTAAGGAGAAGGGATGCGCGCGTGCGTGTGTGTTAGATCTGGGTGTTGTGGGATGAGGGAAGTGACTGTCAGCAGGGAGAGGCTGGCTGGAATAATACACTCAACAGCACACACACACACCATCTCACGATAGGGAAAGATATAAAAATTCACATGCGAGTTTATACCGTTTCCATGGTTATTAAGGATTGGAAAAACCCACTCACACTCATTTGGTCACAGTCACAACTTCATGATCAGAGATACAGAGCTCTGGTCTAGAGTGTCATCTGCTAACCAGGCACATAAAAGCATCAGCTTACACCACGGCTACAGCTTTGAGGTAGCCGGCGTACCTGCAGATACTGTTACACCGGCCCATACACCAGGAGGTAACGAGAGGCCCTGCAGTCTCCCTCTGTCGATCTCTCACACACAGTGTGAATAAAACATGCAGGCTGGCTACCAGATGTCTTGAAGGCACAGCGGGAATTCAGCTGAAACACACCGTCAGTTTGGAGGCTTTGCAAGCAACGTTTTGTTTGTTTCATGGCGACACACTGCAGATTGAGTTGACGACAACATTAAACTAAACCAAAGAAACTCTCACAGAGCAAGTGAGAGGATATTTTCCAATCCATCAACTGATACTGTTGAAAAAAAATATCTACTGAATTGTACACTCCACCACCAGTGGCTGTAGGTCACAGCAGTGGTGGGCCGTCAGGACCTTCAAAGCCTTCTCTGCTGGCCTAAACAGAATCACAAAGTTATAGCTATTTTATCATTTAATATTTTTTCTTAAATACACAACATGTATTATTTCCCATTATCTTATTTTCTCATTGCACAGCTCCTGTCTTCCTCAGTTGCTCTGCTTCCAGTGCAGCTTGTTTTAAGTAGAGCTTTTATCCAATCAGATTTCACCTCTGTGTCTCTAGGTAAGAAGAGAGGCCCGAGGCCTGCAGACTCACACGTGAATCCCTTTACAGTTTAAGTGAATGGGGACGATATTGTTGATTGTCATAGTGTTCAACCAATCAGATCTTTAGTTTGACATGTTGGGCGTATTCTTTGACGTCATTATAGGCCTGCTAGCTGGCCTATAATGACATCAGCATTACGTGCAGCTCAGTGTCCATGTGCAGCTCTGCCGCGAGGTGCAGAGTGTGCTGTGATTGGTCAGTGGGCGAGCACGTGACTATCGTGAAACAAAACTTAACAGCAGAGGCTTAGTCGGCGTTGTGAATCACATCACGTGATGCAGCTCAGCTAATCAAATATGGGCATTCTGACAAGTTTCCTGACTCGAGTGAGATGTACCACACACCATGACACAGGGGACTGAGACGAGGAGAGACACTGCAGAGCAGTATGTTCAATGTTTTAAATTGTGAAAGTAAAACCATAAAACTGTCTCCTAAAGAGACTAATGGGCCGTGGCATGTCATTAAGGGACGATGGTGGGTCCCACAGCCAGACCAGCTGAGAACCACTGTCCTACATGAACACAGAAAACATTGTCTATTCCTGTATTTAAGCGCCTCCGTTTTCCAAATGCTCTAGCATTATCCAAACGTATTGTAAGCCTCGTACCGAACGGTTTAATACAATTACGTGCATAGTTACAGCTTCAGAAACAAATAATAGCTGTGGCGCCATCATGTGGTTATAAGGTGGTATTTCAGCTGCAGGACAGCAGTGAAGGCCCAGGTATAAAATGCACGGCCCGCCACTGCTGAAAACTCAATATAGAAATTAGAAAATCAGCTTTGGCTAAATCTAAAACGTGGCTTAAATATTACATCGGTGTTCCCAGAGGAAAAGTTTATCAGACTTTCAAGCTACACCTCAAACATCATAACAGACTTTGTGCTAATATTATGACATAAATCCCAGTTGAAAACTTTAGCATTGTGACGTATTATCACATAACATCTTGTAACACTAAAATTGATCAATTCAAATTGATTGAAGTTTGATTTCAACTTGAATGTTTCATAGTTGAATAATCAGTACCGGTTGGTGTTAATAATTATATTATATAGTTTGTGGGTTTGAGTCACAAACTGAATAAATCAATAATAACAAAGGATGTACTTGTAGACAAAACATAAACACTTGTCAAAGCATAAAATAAGCTATATTATTAAAATCTGCATCTTCAAGGGTTAATTATTGCAACATGAAAATATGTTTGCACTGTCCCTTGATGGGTCCATCTTCTGATGACTGATTTAGAGCCATGCTATCACCCACTTTAGTCAACTTGGGCTACACATGAGCCGGCGTTTCTGACCATGAGTAGCCACAACTTGGGTGTGTGACGTAACTGTGTCATGGCAGGTGTGTTGCTGACCCAAGGAAGTTCTTTGCCGCGTGTGAAGTTGTTTATGAGCGGGCCAAGCATTCAGACCACTCTCAACAGGCATGTTTCAATGGGCACAGCACTAGTTTAAAGTAATTATCAATCAACTGCCTCAAACTTTAAAAAAACCCAAAAAAAACTGTTTTGATATTAGTTCATTTGCAGAATCCAACAAAGCTGTATTGGCAATAAGATACATTTGAATGGCTGACCCAAATACAGTTTTGCCCATTTTATCTTTTTTATAACTGAATAATATTCCCAGAAAAAAACAGCATCGTCTCCCATTACTGGTTGTGATTTAAAGTGGTGTCTAAGTTGTGGAGCACAGAACCCAGCGGCTCAGTTAAAGTCACATCTTGTGTTAGCCGCCACCATGTTATTGATCTGGGATTAGAAATGCGAGCCCAGTGTGTTAGTGGGCCATGGATTCAGGCCCTGCATGTGTGTGTATAAATGGGTCATGTAGCAGGCTATATTGATCCCTTGTCAGTTTTAAGTGTTAGATCCTGCTGGTGATGTTGCTGCAGGAGAATATCTATAGATCTGAGCTCTCACTAGTACACACAAAAACACACACACACACACACACACACACACACACACACACACACA